CTGTTGTTTATTGTCCTTGGAAAACGGCAACATAGTCGACACATGGAACATAATTTCGTGTCCCTCATAAATCGTGTAGACGGAGTGTCGACCCGTCATGTCACCTGAGAAGGAGAGAAAAAGATGCGTTAGAAACGTCATTTTTGAGTTGGAGGCTGGAGGGAGGGGAGGGGAGGAACGGAGGGAGGGAGGGAGGAGGGAGAGATGAGAGAGAGATGATGAAGAAGGAGGTATGAAGAGGAAGAGGGGAGAAAGGGAGGAAGTAAGCAGGAATGAGTGAGTGAGGAGAGAGGAAGAGAGAGAGAGAGAGAAGAGAGAGAGAAGAGAGAGAGAGGAGAGAGAGAGAGAGAGAGAAGAGAGAGAGAGAGAGAGAGAGAGAGAGAGAGAGAGAGAGAGAGAGAGAGGAGAGAGAGAGAGAGAGAGAGAATAAAAGCGAGAAAGGGAACAGAAACAAATCAAAAGCGAATACATTTTCACATACTTTCCCTTCCACCCATCACTGGCTTAATCTTAGGTTTATCAGACTCGAAAAGAAAAAGAAAAAGAAAGCCAAAAAAAAAAAAAAAGAAGACGAAAAAACGATTTATTGGATTCCCAAAACGTAGAAATTCGTTTGATTGCCAGAGTCAAAGTAATTGTCAATAGCAAGTGCGCGTGAGTGAATGCCAAGCCGGCCTCTCGTTCTCATACGGGACATGTATCTCTGGCACATTTTGTGAACATTTACGTCACTTTTCGAGAGAGATTGGTGGGGACATTTTTAACAGCTGGAGAAATGAGGAGAAAGAGTGGGGGAGGGAAAGGGGGGGGGAAAGGGGGGGAAGGGGGGAAGGGGGGAATGGGGGAAGGATTAGCATCGTTAATATATCGTTGCGGTTTAATGGGTTTCATTTATTGGTCTTTATTTTCAGAACTTTATTTTTATATTCTGTTTCGCTTTTGTTTGTCTGTTGTCGCATAGTTTTGTTGTAGATAGTGGTAAAAATAGATAAATTAATAAATGGGAAGTATGCTAATATACAAACCATGAATGGAAAGAGAAGAGAATGGATCTTGTAAATGAAATTAATAAAAAAAATAAAGTGAAGACATAATTTTTTTAAAAAGAAAGAAAGAAGAAGACGAAGAAGAAGAGGAAGAAGAAGAAGAAAAGGAAGAAGAAAAGAAGAAGAAAAAGAAAATCAAATTCTAATCAACAAAACCAAACCTCTCGCCCCCCTCCTCCATCACCCCCCCTTCCTCTCCCCCAACCCCCCCAAAAAATAAGCCTACAAAAAAACAAGAAAAGAAAAAAGACAAAGAAAAAAAGGAAAGAAACCCAGCCATTCCTCTGACACAGACCGAACTTAGCAGACAAGGAAAGGCGTCGTCTAAACATTTCCCGAAGTATTTGCCGAAGCTGCTGCTGCTGCAAAGAGAGAGAGGGACGCTTCTGTTTGGTGTTCGCTGGCCTGGGAGACACGAGTCTGGGGTTGGGGGGGCGAGGGGGGGAGGGGGAGGGGTGAATGGGTGAAGAGGGATGGTGGGGAGTGAAGGGGCTTGGGACGTGGGGTGGGAGGTAGGGGTGAAGCGGGAGGAGGAGGAAAAGAGACACGAGTCTAGGGTTGGGGCGAGGGGGGGGGTGAATGGGTGAGAGAGGGATGGTGGGAGAGAAGGGGCTTGAGGGTGGGTGGGGGTAGGGGTGAAGCGGGGAAGGAGAGGAGGAGGAGGAGGTAGGAGATGGGGTGAAGGGGGGCTGAATGGGTGAGAGAGGGATGGTGGGGAGAGAGGGGGGGGGGTGGTGGGGGGGGTAGGGGTGAAGCGGGAGGAGGAGGAAAGACAGGAAGAGGTAGGGGGGGGGATGAGGGAAGGGGTTGATGGGTGAGAGAGGGATGGTGGGAGGTAGGGGTGAAGGGAGGAGGAGAAGGAAGAGGAAGAGGAGGAGGTAGAGGGTGGCTGAAGGGGGCTGAATGGGTGAGAGAGGGATGGTGGGGTTGGGTGGGTGGTAGGGTGCAGGGGGAGAGGAAAAGGAGGAGGAGGTGGGGGCGGGGGCGTAACTGGTAGGCTGAGACAGGGTGGGAAAGAGCGGGTTTGATGTAGGGTGAAAGAGGGAGATGAAATGGGAGGTGGAAGAGGGTTGGGATAAGGGGTTTGAAGTAAGGTCGAAACGGGGCGGGGGTGGGGGGGAGTTTTAATGGGGGGGGGGGATGAAGTGGAAATGAAGTAGGGGCTAAAATGGGGGCTGAAATAGGGAAGGAAACAGGAGGGAAAATGAGTGGTCGAAGCAAGAAACGTGAAACTGAAGCGAGGAGATGAAATAGGGACCAAAATGGAACCTGAAGCAAGAGTGAAGCGAAGGACTAAAAAAGGATTAAAAATGGGGACTGAAATAGGGCTGTAGCGGGACTTGAAACGGGTATTCGAGTGAGGTTGGAGAAGCGTTGAAGCGAAACTGAAACGGGACTGAAACAGAGTTGAAACGGAGGCAGAAGCTGGACTGAAGTGAGTTGGAGGAACCGTTTGGAAGGAATTGAAAAGAAGTGAAACTGAAGGGGGGGGTAGGTAGTGGTGGTGGTAGGGGGAGAAGGGAAGAGGAAACGAAGATAAGGGAATAATGGGATGGGATGGATAGGGAGGAAGGAGGAGGGAAGAGAAGGGAAGGGGAAAGAGAAAGGAAGAGAGAGAGAGAGAGAGGGGAAAGAAATCAAAAGGACTATACTGGATTACAATATGCAGTTGATGTGCCTTCATTTTTTTTCTCTTTTTTATTCTTTCTCGTGTATGCAAAAGGGGCAAAACCATACATAAAAAGATGCGGTCATTTTGAAAGAGGTAGAAATCATGATTATGAATGTGATACTGAAAAATGATACTGATGATAACAATACATGCACGCACACACGCCAGTGTAAATCTACAACTGTGACTGTAACATTAATCTTCTCGCCCCTCTTACTCTCTCCCCTCTCTCTCTCTGCGTCTTCTCTCTTCTCTGTCTGTCTTTCTTTCTTTATTTCTCTCTCTCTCTTTTTTCTCTTTTTTCTCTCCCCCCCTCTCTCTCTCTTCTCTCTCTTCTCCTCTCTTATATGTCTTTCTCTGTCTCTGAGTTCTCTTCTCTTCTCTCTCTTTGCTCTCTCTCTCTCTCTCCTCTCTCTTCTCTCTCTCTCTCTCTCTCTCTCTCTCTCTCTCTCTCTCTTTCTCTCTCTCTCTCTCTCTCTCCCCTCTCTCTCTCTCTCTCTCCTCTCTCTCTCTCTCTCTCTCTCTCTCCCCCTCTCTCTCTCTCTTTCTCTGTCTCTCTCTCTCTCTCTCTCTCTCTCTCTCTCTCTCTCTCTCTCTTCTCTCTCTCTCTCTCTCTCTCTCTCTCTCTCTCTCTCTCTCTCTCTCTCTCTCTCTCTCTCTCTCTCTCTCCCTCCTCCCCTCTCTCTCCCTCCCTCCTCTCTCTTCCCCCCCTCTCCCTCTCTGCCTTGTGTACGCGTTGGGAAAGTAGAATGGGACCAAAGCGAACATTAGTCGTGCAAAAGTACCAGCCACAGACACGGCAGCCACAGAATCTTTTGTGTATTTCGCTCCTATTGTTTGCAGGACGTGATGACTACAAGAGATTTTTTTTTTTTTTTTTTTTTTGTCATGGGTGCAAATATGTGGAAGAAGGGATGGATGGAAACAACAATAACAACAAAAACAATAACAAACTATGGTAGTTTTATGATGCTGTTCGAGATTTTTTGTTTTTTTTTTGATGGGTGCGAATAGAGGACGAAGGGATGGATGGAACAACAATAACAACAAAAACAATAACAACGATGGTAGATGCTGTTCGAAGATTTTTTTTTTTGTCATGGGTGCAAATATAAGAGGAAGAAAGGATGGATAGAAACAACAATAACAACAAAAACAATAACAATCGATGGTAGTTTTATGATGCTGTTCGAAGATTTTTTTTTTTTTTTTTTTTTTTTTTTTTGCCATGGGTGCAAATATAAGAGGAAGAAGGGATGGATAGAAACAACAATAACAAACGATTGTACTTTTATGATACTGTTCGAAGATTGAATTGTATTTTTTCGATCTTCTTGCAGTTCCTCATCCTATGGAGAAGAATGGGACGGGGAAATTGATAAAGTTGGGACTTGCTGTTTCAAGATTTGCTGAGTCTTCTTCCTCTCTTTCTCTTTCTCTATTTTCTCATTGTCTGTCTGGCTGTTTTTTTTTCTTTTATCCATCGGTCTGTATGTTTCCGTACTCTGTCTGTCTGTCTTTTTGTCTGTCAACGTGTCTGTCTATCTATCTCACTATCTATCCGTTCGTCTATTTATCTATCTACCTTCAAAGAAATGAAGAATTTGATCTGAATTACATAACATAGGTCAACGAAGCATTAAAACAAATAAACAAACAAGGAAATAAATAAACAGAGACGTAAAACAATAAAAAAAGAAAATAAAAGAGAAATAAGAAGAAAGAGAATAAAGAGAGAGACATAGAGAAAAACACGAAGAAATGAGAAGAAAGTGAATAGAGAAAGAGAGAGACAGACAGAGAGAGAGAAAAACACAAAGAGATAAGAAGAAAGAGAATAGAGAAAGAGAGAGACAGAGATAGGGAGAAAACACGAAGAAATGAGAAGAAGAGAGAGACAGAGAGAGAAAAACACAAAGAAATAAGAAGAAAGCGAATAGAGAAAGAGAGATAGAGAAAGAGAAAAAATACGAAGAAAAAGAAGAAGAGAATAACTAAGAGAGAGACGCAGCGAGAAAAACACGAAGAAATAAGAAAGAGAATAGAGAAAGAAAGACAGAGACAGAGAGAGAAAAACACAAAGAAAAAAGAAGAAAGAGAATAGAAAAAGAGAGAAACACAAATAGAAAAACCCAAAGAAACAAGAATAAAGAGAATAGAGAAAGAGAGACACACAAAGAGAGAGAGAGAGAGAGAAAAAAAAAAACACGTATCTGTCGAAGCTACGATGCTAGTCAATTGAATGCATGAAAGTCGAGACACAGGACGCTCGCGACATCCGTTCAATTTCGGCCTCAGAAGCTGCATATTCAACTCCACGCTCTGAATTCGTCTCTTAATGAACCCCCCCCACCTTCCCCTCCCCCTTCTCCCCCTTCGCTGTCTT